AAAAGAAAAGAAAATTTTAATTACATATATGCCTCACACTTGCCATTCATTGTATCTGTACAGGACAATACTGCTCTGGAAACACTGGGAGTACTGGGTAGAAATTAGAAGACGACAGATTGAAGCTCTCCAAAAAAAGAACTGGTTGGGGCAGCGCCTGTGGCTCAGTGAGTAGGGAGCCAGCCCCCATATACGGAGGGTGGGGGGTTCAAACCCAGCCCCGGTCAAACTTCAACAAGGACAACAAAAAAGAACTGCTTATAAATAAAATGATATACTTTCAACACTGGTGAACTCTTGATCATTAAGTGATAAAGAGGCCATATTAATATTTGTTAAAAATGTCTACAGAAAATCCCTGATTTGGAGGGAAGTAGGACAAAATGACCTCTTTATTATTGGGTTGTTTCAGGTTTTTTTCCTAGTTCTAAAACTCTATATTCTATGAGATTTCAGTACAATCAGGGAAGCTACCAGCCAATAATTTTAAGAACATTCCTCTCTTTTCTGAAGTTTCCCTAGAACCCTGGCGAGGGTCTAGGAAGAGCTCAAGCTGACTACAAAAGTCTCAACAGGCTTGGATCCATAGTGCTGCAAAGAAAAAGATTAGTATCTTCAATGCAGATTTAGCTCACTTCCCACCAAGTTACTTCCCAAATAAAATCACCTTTTATTATTAGGTTGCTTGCATTTATTTTCCCTCAGAAAATATTTAATTGGTGCTTATTATGTGCCAAGCTCTGTGCTAGTCCCTAATAAAGAAAAAGAAATAGAATTAGTCTCTAAATCTCTCTAGAACTGTACTGGACAATATGGTAGACACTATCCACATTTGTTAAACTTCTGAAATGTGGCTAGTTAGAATTAAGATGTACTCTAAGTGTAAAATACATGTCAGATTACAAACACTTAGTACAAAGAAAAAAATTTTAATTACTAATCAGAGAGTTTACATTTATAATGTTAAAGCAATAATATTTGGATAAATTAGGTTAAATAAAATATTAAAATTAATTTCACCCTTATTAAAAATATGACATGACTATTAGAAAATTTTAATTGGCTCAGCATGGTGTATTCCTAGCACACCTGTATTCCTAGCACTCTCAGAGACTGAGGTCAGGAGTTCGAGACCAGCCTGAGCAATGGTGAAACCCCATCTCTACTAAAAACAGAAAAATTAGCTGGGCATTGTGGTAGGCACCTGCAGTCCCACAGCTACTTGTAGGGTTGAGAAAAGAATTTCAGGTGGCTGTGAGCTATGAGGACACTGCACTCTACTCATAGTGACAGAGTAAGACTGTCTCA